CCTTCAATTGGAATTTTTACAGCCATTTTACCCCAACCTATTCTTCTGTCTACCATGTTTTTTCTTATCTGAAACAACATAAAAAGTTCATTAGTAACGGAAATCAGTTTTAAAAGTAATTTTAAAATAAAATAAAATTTCATACTTACTATTAGCAACTGATCTTCAAATTCCTTGGAACAGACATAAAAAATACAAGTGGCAGTTAAAAAGAAAAATAAACAATTGATTATGAACACATACAAAAAGCAATAAATTTGCAAGCATTACAAATTAATAACTGTCAAATCTATCATAAGGATTAGATTACTTCAATGAAAATTTCATGCAAACAAAATGTAATAAATTAAAATATTCAGGGTTCATAGGAAATGTAATAATTTTGATGCTATTTCCATAATTACACACATTTTCATATAAAAGTGTTTTATTATGTTCATGGAAATAGAATTTTATAAGTTTAAATTACCAGATCAGTCAGGAAATTTTCCAGAACATTTATGCACTGCTGTACACCCTTGGTAAAAAAATGCCATTACTAAAATATTCGATAATGAGTTTTTTTTAAAGTTATAGCAGTTTGAGCACACAGTTTTCTGACACAATTTATAGTAAACGGAAACTGTTTCCAGAGATAAATATACCATTTATTAAATTATATATTAAACTACATAGTATTAAACATACACACACCATCTAATAAAGAAAATCGATGTGTATACAGCACCTAACTCTCAGCAGCTAGATTATTGAGGAAAAATACTACCAGTATTAGTTGAATTATGGATTAAAGTCTCCCATTTCTTCTACAAGCAATGCAAAACAAGATTTTCAAATAAAAAGTCTTTAACGACAGAGTAGTGGTGAGTTTCAAGTCAATATTTCAAAATAGCAAGTTTGATAGTGAAGAATAACTTTAGATGTAACGTGAAAATAAATTTCTTTGTCCTTTTTCATAAATTTTTACAGAATTACACAAGTTAAAAATGTACAGATAAATGTACCAGCACTGGATACAAGGCGACTAAATACAACAAATGGTGAATAAAAAATTTCCTGTCAGTTGCAACCGAATTGGCACTTTTTCGTCCAAAATGCACCCGCGTGCATTAGCAAGCAGGTTATTATTTTTTTTTTAACAAACATAGAATTATTCTGAATATTTGTTTATATTCTAAAAATTACTTTATTGCAGCCTTATTTTTAAAATTTTTTCTTCATTTTAGATATGAACACTGCAGCGTTTACCATATTTTGGGAAATGACTTAAATTATTAATAACAACACCTTTTTTAAATTGCTTAAAATTTTCATTTTTTGAAAAAACATAAACATGTTTAAAAAAATGGCTACGGTTGAAAATCCATTGACTAGTATCAAATTTTCTTAATTTTTTCCAATAACTCACAGCATTATTGCGTCTTCACTCTGAAATTTTTATGGGTTTTTATAAATTCCTAAATACAAGTCAAATTAAAGTTGCAAAACAGAAAATAATTTTAACAAAGAAGATCAGACTGAATATGGAGTTTAATAATACAAGACAAAAGACTGCGGCAAATTTAAGCAATTAAACTAAGATTGTAAAAAAAAAAAAAAAAAAAAAAAAAAAAAAAAAAAAAAAAAAAAAAAAAANAAGACTACTGATGTATTTCAAAACAGAGGGAGTAATTTATATAAAGCTACTTAAAACTATAACTTTGTTTTGACAAAAAATAATCATAAGAGTTGGCTATGTTAATAAGATTGAAATTTTCAAGGATATTAACACAGAGAACAAAAAATAGGAAAGAATAACTTACATATAAACCGGAATTTGTGTCAACTAATTCAACTTCTGTTAGGTCGACATTTCTGTATCCTGGCTTAAGTAACTCTTGAAACTATAAGAAAATATTTCATATCATCCCAGAATAGTACAAAAGATTGCATTTCAATCCAATGCTTCAATAAAAAAAAAATTATTAAGGTCTTGGCATACTAAAACTGTACTAATGAACCAATTACATTTTTAAGGCAATTAATTTCTCAATTACTTTATTAGAAAAAAATTGTTTATATTACTTTCTTTAGTAAAATTATTTTTATACAAAGCACTATCTGAAATACAGTAAACATAATATGCACTGCAATAAAATCTACATATTGCATTGCAATGTATTTTACTTAATTTTTCTTCTTCAAAACTGCTAAAATAATGGTTATTAAGATGCTTCTCGTACAATGGACGCTTAATTATTTTGTTTTACGTAGATTTTACTTTGGATAAACGAGAGCTCGACGTGTATGTGTGTAAAATGTTTTTGACTTCTTAATTAGTTCCAGAAATATGGTGAAATATTCAAAACGTCAAATTAATATTAAGGGACCAAATTCTAAATCACACTCCTTTCTTAATAATTGAAACCATTTTTCAAGATTTCAGCTTTCCCCATATTTTGAGTGCCAAGAATTCCAATGAGCTGTAAAAAGGTTTAATCAAAGAAAGTATATTTTTGTG